TATGAGATTTATTCTTTAATAGTTATAAATGAAATCATCAAGTTGAAAAATAAATCTAAGTTGGATGGACAAGTTAATACAAATTGAAGTTAGATGAACATAAAAAAATTGTAAGCTAGGTGACCTTTAAGGTGGATCCAGGAATTTAGTTTAGGGGGTTGAAACAATGATGACCTGACATGTTACCTGTGCTAGCATGTCGAACATGTCATGTGACATTTTATTTTTTTCAACAGCTTAACACATTGGCATCAACAATAGTTCAACATTTCAACAATAATTCAAAATTCAAACAAAAAGCACCGAGGCAACAGTATTCAAAAATAAGCCGATAAGACAACAAAATTCAGTTAATAAGCCAACATGACAACAACAACCCAACAATTCTACTACAGTATACCATTATCAAAGCCAAGAAAATTATATCCAACTAGGGTGGTATGACATTGAAGGTACCAAGAAGGATAATTTATGTTTTGAGTTTGAGTGAAGCTTGAAAAGAGATATTAGTGGAGATAAAAGACGAACAATTAGGTGGAGAATATAGATTTGGGCTGAGAGAAGCGGGTATATGGCCAGAAGAAAGGGAACCAGAGTACGTGGTTTGATCAATCATGTTCTATTTTAAAAAGTCAATTTTATTAACATGATTAGCTCAAACCGTATATTTTGATTTATAATTTTATATTTATTCGGCTTGATATTTGTCCCTTGAAACTAATTAGAAGTAGGTAGACTTCTAGCCCATGAGAATTTCATGTTTTTGAATGCATTTCAGTTTGATAGAATCTATAACAAAGTGGTTTAAATTGTAATACACGTTTTGCGATAATTTGTAACACACCTTACATTTGATTCATAGCAACAACAAATTAAATAGTCAAAACTAATCTTATATACTATAATTTCATTAAGAAAAAAAAATGTCAATAGTATGGAACTTAAATTATTGTGTTATTGCTTCGAATTAATCACTCTGTTCAAGTTGAAGTTGTGTCAATTGAGAGCCATTGAAGTCCAATGTTAGTAGGTATATGGAGACCCATATATTTGGTCAACTCTTCAAATTTGACCAAAATTAGACGATAACAGTTTAATATTAATGTTATCTTTAAAATTAAATATTTTTCACTATTTATTTAAAACTTTAAAGTGTTAAAGATTGCTTGAAAAGGGAAAGAAATTAGTATGACGTAAATCAAATGGTCATTCACAATGTTTGGCTTGATCTCAAGGATGGGAGATAGAAACGACTTCTAGAGAAGAAACTATAGAAAACAAGTGAATTCAAAGTGCAATTTGTAAGATTTAATGGTTTTATATCTTCTACATTCTATTTCACAAGTTTTAGGTCAAATTTTATGTCCCCTAAGGTTTTTTCTTTGTAAATCCATTGGTAGGGATTAGGATAAGCTATCTGCTATCATCTTTAGTTCGTTTATAAACCAACCTCTTTTGTTATTTGCTTATATAATGATAATGATAATTATAAACAAGGAACGAATGAAACTAAGAAAAAAACTCAAAATGAAATTCGTAATATTTAGTAGTTTTGTATCTTCCCCATTGTGTTTCATGCGTTGGTATACATATGCTCAACTCATTTGGCCACTACAAGAACTAAGCCCCAATTTTTCAGAATAGATTTTATAAAAAAAAAAATTTTTTTTTTTTTAGGGAATGTATGATTAAAAAATAAGAAAAAATTATGAACTTACACGTAGAGGTGGGCGCGGGTCGGTTCGCTAAAGAGAATCGAATCGAATCAAAATTTTCGGGTATTTAGTAAATGAAACCGTCGGGTCCAAATATAATTATGGAACCATTCGGGTTCCGTTCGGTTCTTAAATTTTTTTAACATTTATAACAACATTATATAAATACAACTAGTGACACATTCAATGGTTTTGGAATGTCAGAGACTAGTAGACTACCTTATTCAAATGATCGTTACGGTCAAAGTTTCGGTTGACGAAGGTCATAACTTCGATCGGAAGTCACGACGTCTGTTGACGATTGTATAGGTTTTGAAATGTCAGCGAGGCTGCGAGAGTGAGTTCGAGAGTCGAGACAACGTTATGCACTTTAGTGTAGGTGTTTAAGGTTATTTAGTAGATTGGATCTTGTTGGGCTAAGAAATAAAACAATAAAATAGGTAATTGGGCCAAAAATTAAAAAATTAGAAATGAAACAAATTATTGAGCCAAAAATTTGGATTTAGAAATTGTTAATTTGTTAATTTGTTTAGAAAAAATTAAAATTAAAATAATTTGATTTACTCAATATAAAAAAAAAATTAGAAAGATTCGGTTCTTGGTTTAGAACAAAGAACCGAATCGTATCCGTCGGTTCTCAATTCAGATACACATTCGGGCATTTAATTTGACAAGAACCGTCGAGTTCGGTCGGTTCGATTCGAGAGATTTGTCCAACCCTACTTACACGTATAATATTTTATTGGGAGACTGCGTAATTTTAGAATTTCAAGAAATATAAATTTTAAAGAGTGTAAGAGGCTAAATGCGTAATTATCAAAGATATAGGGTTAAACCTACACAATCAAATTGGTTGACTAGCCACCTAAGCTTACTAATTGCTGGAACTGTGTGGATTCTGACCGTAATTTCTAGTTTTTAGATATCATGACTAGGAGTTGAATATATAGCTTCTAGAGTTCTATTATTATATTTCAAACCATACATTTGTCAATAGAGGGTGTTTGGAAAATTTTTATAAATATGAATAATGGGGTAATATTTATGATTTTACAAAATGTATAAATAAAAAATTGATTTTATAAACACTAACCATATGTACACAGTTTGTCTCGATATTATCTAAATCTTTTGTTAAAAAAAATATTTATAATTTAAAAATTATCTAGTTAAAAAAATATTTCTTAACCTAGTCACATTCTTCTCCCACTTTAGTATTGATGACATGTTCAATATATTGGATTTAACATAATTGATAGACAAACATCATAATTGTGCTATCATTATTTGTGTGAAATAAATAAATTCTTTCGTGTGTACATTATTTTTACATTATGATCATAACGTTATGTTTTATGAAGTTACATGAGCAACACATAGTTGGAGGTAAGTTTCACGTCCTAATTAGTTAATAAACTGTGCTACGTTAATCTTAGAAGAATTTATACAACAAATCAAGCATTACGGCTTTTTTCAAGAAGTTAACTGGAAAAAAAAATAGAACAAAATGGTTTGGAATTGCTATATGTCCTGAGCAAACAAGAAAATGTAGATTGCATCTGTCTTATAGATAACTCAATTCGATCCATTTTTTACACCTTTAAACATAAAAATAGTTACAATTTCAAACTATACATACTGCAACAATAAAAATAGCGTACAACTAAAACCCACTGTAGTTCATAAATTTTGTCTCAAATCATTAAATTGAATTTTTAATTCCTAGTATTTTATTCCCACGTTATTTCCTGTTAGTTTGGGGTAAGAAATTGATGGTGTGAAACTATAAAATAAATATTTCTAGAAGGAAAGCGTCACGGCACATAAATTAAGAATACTAAGCTACATAAAATACAACCAATTCACACACCAACTCACTTTACTCAACGCTGCTTACTTGATAAGTGTATTGCTTTTATGAAATTTGTATCATTAGTCCTCAACCTTCACTAAGTAGTAAGATAGTTCTTAATAAGGTATATTAATACCCGTCTTTTCATTTTATTTATACAATCAGTCTTTGCCCTTGATGATGAACAGAAAAACATCATGCATTCTTAGTTTTAAGTTTTCTAAACCGTGCCATTTTGGTTCCTCTCCACATTCTTATCGGACAATCCATGAATTTACCTATAATTTTTTTTTTTAACTTATATTTCGATGTAGAAAGATATCCTTATTTCTTCACCGTGGATTCTCGTATTAAACTCAAGTGAAGATCGATACTCAAAGGCTTGATGAACGGTCAAAATAAGTAAAAGCCTAGACTCTCCAGTCGGCTTAAAGTGAGGTTGACTTAAGCAAACTAGAAGGTTACGATGCATGTTTTCCTCTTTCAATTTCTAACCTTTCAAATATATCTTTTGCTTGAGTTTGATTTCTTACCAATTTGAGCCACAGTGTAGAATGTGTTTTGAAATAGTAGATTAATTGAGAATATATTGTTAAAATATAAGAAACAATTTTGAATTTGCGTGTAATATTATTTTATTGAAGAATTGTGTGTTTGAAAAAAAAATGTATTTTAAAGATAATAGAGATGAAACAAGGGCGAATTTTTTAGCCAGTGCCCACTCCTATTCTCTAAGTCACCCACACCCGTGGAATCTTTGCTCCAAAAAGTGAAGTCCCACCTTCAACTAAAATTAAAAAAGTGTTGATGCTTAAGTGGACGCTAAGATTATAATTGTCTAAATCTATTTTAAATTGTAGCATGATTCTCATGAAAATATGACTCGCTTTAAATTTTTGAACAACGATGCGAATTTTCTGCAAAATCTAGATTAATAGAATACGAGGATCAAGATCCATGTGATAATTTAATGTAGATTTAGATAATTTTTATAATTGAAGATCGATTAGTGAACAATTTCCTTACACTATAAAAATTGGCGATCAACTTGCTATTAGAGCAACAAGTTAGGGACCAGTACTTTTCAACATGGGTGCCGAGTCACGTTTGGTCAGTTCATACTTGGGAGGCAAGAAAAATCTAGAAATATGGAAGATTCATTGTGCTTGACTCGCTGTGGCTCGCCAATGACGACTCACGAACTCAGCAACACGGTCACACTTACGTTTTCAGTGACGGACGCAATCACGGATTACCGTACCACTTGATCTATATGATCCTTTTCCAGCAAGAAATATGCCGTGTGTTACGTCACTGCGAAAGGTCAACTAAAAAAAGTCAAAGCAAACAACTTCCAAAGCATATCTTCACACCTATATATATGTGTATATCACCCTTGAGTCTTTTTCTCATTATATAATCCTATTCATACACACACATATACACATAGTCAGTTGTTCTTGTAAAAAGATATCATGGCGTTAGATTTAAAAATTATGACGAAGAGGGGTAGAGAAGAAGGAGCAGATCAGAACATGAAAAGCATGGCGAATTGCTTGATGTTACTCTCCAATGGCGGCGGCACGTTTTATTCAGCCGTTGACAGCTCTGCTGCCCGTGTTTTCGAGTGCAAGACATGTAACAGGCAGTTCCCGTCGTTCCAGGCGCTCGGCGGCCACCGGGCCAGTCACAAGAAGCTGAGACTTATGGGAGAACAACATTCCGGCGAGTTGAGGACATCACCAGAGAAGCCTAAAACGCACGAGTGCCCTGTTTGTGGGATGGAATTCGCAATTGGACAAGCTCTTGGAGGGCACATGAGGAAGCACAGAACGGTGGCCGTTAATGAAAATCACCAGCCGCCGACGGCGGAGCCCGCCTTGTCTTTGGCTCCTTCATATCCTCCACATCCAATTGTGAAGAGATCGAATGGCAGGAGGGTTTTCTGTTTGGATTTGAACTTGACTCCTCTGGAGAACAAGTTTCTTCTCTTCGGGAAAATGGTTCCTACCATTGACTGTTGACGGAAAACTTGAGAGTTGCACATAATTCAATGTATATTTCCATTAACATTAGAGTCAGTTATTCATGAATCTGTTTTGTTCAATGCTATATATATATATATATTAGAAGTTTTGGTGCAATTATAATCTCTTCTATGCAATGCAAGAAAATATGGCTGCTATAGAATGTCTCTTTAAACAGTCCGTAGCATGAGATACAATTAATTATAATTCATTAAGAGCGTAGTAAGGTTGGGCTTATTGGATATTGGCATTAAATTAAGTCCATGCTTGATATACTAGAGAAAGTCGAGGAATAGAGATGTGTGAAATGTTTGTCCATTAATGTTGGGTTCTATCTAGAATAAGAAAGAAAGAACTCTGAGACGTTCATCTATTAGAATTTTTCATCGTTTAATTTTGATCTTAACAAAATAAACTTTTTAATGTGCTACTTCAAAACTCAATATGATATCAGAGCTCAAAGAAAATCATCCAAAACTTAAATGAACAATTGAATTCAAGATTTGTGTTTTCATACGAGCCCCCACTAGAGGTCATGTAAAGGTTATATTTAAAAATAATAATTACTTAGCATACTCTCCTTTTAATAAAATTAATAATATCAAACTCCAAATACGAAATACTATCTTAATTAAAGATGGGATAGTAGCAAATAAAGAAGGTACAATATCACTTTTCCAGAACGAGTAACTTATCTTTAGCTATGAACCATTGAAGAAAGCCTTTTAGAGGCATTGAAAGTTCCAAATATGCCAAAGTTACGGAAATTACCCGAGTTGCAAGTAATCATCTCTAGCGCCAATGGAGACTTTGAATAATATTACTCCAAAAAACGAAAAAAAATGTTATCGGAAACACAGATTGATAGACCCTAAAAATGTTAGTGAGACTCTTATTCTATCAGAATATTAAATGTTAAGAAGGGTTACGTAATTATTCTATCAGAGCAAGTTGACATGTTACTTTAGTTTGATCACCCAAGTCAATAATCATTATAAACATGTCCTCTTCGCATTTAAGGAAGCTTTATCTGAGAAGCAAAACTCCGTACCTTTGCGACCAGAAGAGTAACATGATGGGGTAAAGTCTTTTTCAAGTTGGCTACTTCTTAATTGGAAAAATAGCACCCAAATTGTGCGGTGGCAAAAACTTTATATATGCAATAAAAAAATTTATGAGATCTTAATATCGTGACAATTTTAAAGACTAATCACGTCGCATCTTTATTTATTATTATATTTTTTTTTATATTCGTAGCTATTGTCATAATTAACAAGATTGAAATTTTACAAGAAAGACTTCGAATTAGGAGTAAGATGAATCTACCCCTAATTGAGACGGTGAACAAATATATTAACAAAATGTTCGAGAAAACTATGTAGAAAGATATTAACAAAATGACTCTCCACAACTTTGAGAATGAGTGCTCTCATATTTTTTTATTAGGAAAGGGCAACTGAGACTGTCTCTTAAGAGCACAAGACTATAAAATTATGTCGAGATGCATAATGGTAATGTTGATTCTACGTAAATATAGTGTTTCTCCCACCTATAATAGTGTAGCAAGCTCGTAAACTTGTAGGTTTATGTGAGACCATGCTCAATTATCTTTTAGCATAGTTATGTTAGGCTCTTCTACGTATTAACTGTTTTGTAAATGTCATTTTATACAATCACACTTGAGTTGGTGCATTTTTCATGGTTGGACGATGGTGGTATTGTGCATGTGATCATTTTTGTATTACGATCCAACTAATCAATAAAATAATCAATTTTGCGTGTGCATCACCTCTCGATATTTTAATTCACTTCATTGACATACGTATGAATAGAGCAGTGTTCTTGAATTTAAGGTCTTGAAAACCTTAAAGAATTTGATTCCCATTAGGATTCAAAAACTAGGGTTCAAAAGACATCTATATATCAATCCATAATTACAACCTTGAGTTTTTATCTTTCAAAATCTAAGAGACAGAGTAAAATCACATATATATAGAGTACATGATGACTTTGTACTATTTGTTGGTCGAGCTTGTATTCCGAATTTGAATAATGTTTCGATCTAATTAGACATAAGGTGGCATGCTTTACTAATATGGAATATAGCCATACCTCTGGTTAAAAGTGCAATAGAAGAAAACTTATTGTGTCTATGGACGGGAACGACAATGTAAAAGGGCCATACTTTACTTTCGAACTTGCTACTTGAAAGAGAGATAGAGTAAATTTATTATAAGATTCCTCAAGTTCGGTAAGTCCATAGCTCCTTCACAATCAAAATCCCCCAATAAATTCTTTTATTTTCGGATAAAAAGATGACATTTTCACTCTGAAGCTATCTCTATTAACAGTACACATTTACACATGAGTCTCATGTTGCTGAAGTTACTCGTTGATATTAGAACTTGGAGCCCGAGAAGACTCTATATTTTCACTATTTTTAAAAGCATTTCATGTTTATCATAATTTTGTAACAAACCCATTGACAATTTGGTTCATTGTAACAACAAATTACGTACTAAAACTTTAAGTAGGTGGAGGGAGATAATGGTTGATTACAAAATTAATTACATTTCGTATTACAGTGTATGTCACCAAGTGCTTAGCATAAGTTAAACATCAGTGTTTACCTATTATTTTATTCTTATTTTTTTAGAGGACAATATTATGAACTTAAACAATGGAATTATTGCATTTATTTGGGGTTTACCTATTATTTTATTCTTATTTTTTTAGAGGACAATATTATGAACTTAAACAATGGAATTATTGCATTGATTTTTGGGTGGGGGGGGGGGGGGTCATTAATTGAGATTACGATGGATTTTAAAAGTCATTTTAAATTTAGGCGCCTTCATTTGAGATTTTATTGGATTTTAATGAAATCCATTACAATTTATATGTCCCCAATTGAGATTTTAATGAAATCTTTTAAAATTTACGTATTCTCAATAATTAATGGATTTATAAAGATTTCATTAATAGAAGGATTTTAAAAGATTTGGTCCATTTGGATATTTCAAGCCTAAAAATACATATAAGCAAAGTTTTTTGAAATTTCACCATATTTGATGAGATTCTTATGGTATTTGTAAGAATCTATTAAAATCCACAAAATTCATTAAAATTTATAATCTATTAAAATTTTAGTTGAGAACACCCTCATTAATCACATTGATCAAGTTGAAGTTTTGTCAATTGAGAGCCATTGAAGTCCAATGTTAACATTAATAAGCTTTGAAACTAAATTATAGTTCTTTTTCATTATATTGTCAACTATGAAGAAAGAACCAAAGAAAGAAAACTCCACATGTAACACATAGTATTTGATAGTTCTATATATTTACGTTTTATTTCGTAAGTTGGTGATTATTGAATCTTTTATTCTATTGCTAATTTACTAGTAGAGGTGATTGTTAAACTCGTGTCGATTAACTAATTTTACCCTCAAAAAACTAATTATCCATTATTAAATAATGTGTTGAGTATACATACTAAATTCCTGTTGGTTTGATTAACAATCAAATTTTTAGTAAATTTTAATATAAAAAAATGATAAAATATGTAATTAAAATATTTATAAAAATTGTGGATCTCATTAAATGAGTATTTGGTGGGGACGAAAATTAAAATTTTTTAGTAAATTGCGATAGAAATTTTTGAAATATTTGATTGAAAACTTATAGAATCTATGAAAAATGTGGTTAATATTAATTATTTGACTTTGACTTAGATTAAAATCTAATTTTAATCCTAACCGAACATATCCAAAATGTATAATTTAAAATGAATTTGAAAAAAAAAATAAAATTAAATAGGGTCAAACAGGAGCTAAATTGCTTCAGATTAGTTGACTAGCCAGCCTATAGCTTACTAATTGAAGGAACTGTAATATTCTAACTGTAGAGATACAGCTTTTCGTGTTTCTAGATATCAATTGACTTGGAGAGTATCTAGAGACTAACAGATTTATTATAATTCTACTTTCAACAACTCTGTTTGTCAATAGAGTAATTGAATTTGATACTTTTATAAGTTAAAGAAACTTCTTAGGAAATCTAAGTAGTAACTTGTCCTGATCTTATCTCAATCTTCTATTAAAAAAAAGAAAAAAAAAACAAACACTTCTAGAAAGTATTGAGGAACAATTTAAATGATAAATAAATAGAACTGAGTAATAAATAAGTAAATAATATTTATGAGTATCTCGATATATGTAGATAAAAAGTTACTTACTTCAGTATTTATAAGTAATTTACAAACATGTGCTAAATTATAATTTTTGATTGACCAGACGGCTGTCAACTAGCTCCAAAAGGTTTCAAAGCCTTTAGAGTACCAAGAAATTACGTATTTAAAAATGATTTCTTAACCAAAGCACATATTTCTTATGTGATTCTTCAACATCGAGAACATGTTCAATATATTGAACTCAACATTCAAATATTTTATATGTTTGCCTTCTTTAAATACTTTTAGTCGTGCTATCAGTATTTGTGTTAGTAAATAATTCTTTTGCTTGTATAATTCTACATTTTGATAGTAGAGTTATGTTGTATAAGGATACTTAACATATAGTTGGAGGTAAGTTAGTTATAATTAGTTAATAAATTATCTTACATTAATCTTACAATACGAGGGAATGGTTAAGTTCTATTGGTTTTCAAAAATATGATTGGGTATTTTACGAATGCAGTCGTCAGGTTCAACATTAATTATGGAATCGAATCGTTCAAAATCGACATACTTTCTCCTACCATAATTAAGTTTATGCTATAACCAGATCCTCATATATGGGCTAGATGAGGAACATACATCCTTTATAATAGATTGATGTTTATACTACTGCAAGGTAATGTCCTTTGGAATAAAGAATGTTGAGCCACTTACTAGCAATTGGTCAATCAGATGTTTGCAGACCAAATTAGAAAAAACTATGGAAGTATACATGGATGATTTGTTGGTAAAAATCCCGAAGACAAGCGAGCATGTAGCCCACCTCAAAAGCATATTCAACATTCTTTGGCTCTATTTGATGAAATTCAATCATGAAAATATATATTCAGGTTCATCTAGAGCAAGTTTTTGAGATTCTTAGTTATTAAAGGTGTCTTTTATGCACGAA